AGCAACAGCAGCAGCAGCAGAGGCGACACACCCTCTCGCCCACAATGAGTGTAGCGAGGTGCATAGCACAGCAGCAGTGGTACTACATCTNCGTCAGCCGTGAGGGGGGGGTGCTATCATCAGAGGGGGGGGGTGCTATCCCATCGTCATCAGCTAGATAGAGAGGAAGCTAGATAGAGAGGAAAAACAAAACGCTGAAGAATTCCCGGGCTTGTGCTGCTGCTGCTGCTGATTGTTTGAACAGGACGCTTCCGCCACCGCTTTAGATAACAGCAACAGCAGCAGCAGCAGAGGCGACACACCCTCTCGCCCACAATGAGTGTAGAGAGGTGCACAGCACAGCAGTGGTACTACATCGTCTAGGAACGAGCGTGATGTTTTACTGGTCCCGTGCTGTGATGTATGTGTGCCTCTCTCCAGAGCAGAGTCAGAGGCCGCTCCCTCCCGCCGCGTCGCAACACAATAACAACAACCAACCGATGGACCCACAGAGACCCAATCAATATCTCTCCTCTCGCTTCCTCCGCCGAAAGCTAGCAGCAGCAGTAGTATAGGGCACACCCTGCTCCCGTCCCGCTCTCGCTGTGTGGTGTGTGCAACACACGCTGGTTGGTGGGACTCCCTCTCTCTCCAGAGAACAAAATGCGAAGAAAAGGCCGGCGGCGTTGAACAACAACAACAAACAACGGAAACAACAACAACAACATCAACAGCGATGAACCCCAGACCGACCAAACGTTCCCCGCTTCCTCCGCCGTCGCTAACAGCAGTATGTGTGTGTGTCCCGCCCCCCTTGTCCATGTTCCCTGTCTCTGTGTAGTGCGTGTCTTGCCAGTAGCAGCAGCAGTGTGTGCAGCACGGCAGTGCGTCGTGGTTTCTTCTTGCGTGCGTGTAGTTTGTTGCCCAGAGAAAAACAAAAATGACGACGCCTCCCGGGGATGCGTCCATGTGACATATATATTTGCACAAACGGTGTGCTATCTCGAGACACCGACCACGGATTGCAAAGGTAGCGGTTGGGACAGCTCGGGCAAAATATTACTTGTTGTGCGCAAGTTTTAGTTTGCAATTTGGTGCCGAGATGGTGAAATGGGCTCGAGTCTGCTGGGTATTTAGGGCGCGCAGACACCAGACAGACACCAGACACCAGACAGACAGCCATCGCGTAATCTTCACGCCCCTGTGCATGAAAATTATTCTTTTTCTCGTGCGCACATACTCCCCACACGATCCCTCTGAACAACTTTTTTTTTGCAAAACAAAACAAAAAGCGAACCCCAAACGGGCCACACTTTTCACAAAAAAATAACTACTAGAGTTGGAGGTGGAATAGTTTTTTGTGGTGGTTGCACAAAAGTACCTGCAGTAGGCTCGTGCGTCTGTTTTCCATCGTCAGCAATCTAGGGGGGGGTGCTATCATCAGAGAGGGGGGGTGCTATCCATCGTCATCGGCTAGAGAGGAAGAAAAAAACGTTGGAAAATTCCCTGGCTCTCGAGCTGCTGCTGATTGTTTGAACAGGACGTTTCTTCCGCCACCGCTTTAGATAACAGCAACAGCAGCAGCAGCAGAGGCGACACACCCTCTCGCCCACAATGAGTGTAGAGAGGTGCACAGCACAGCAGTGGTACTACATCGTCTAGGAACGAGCGTGATGTGTTACTGGTCCCGTGCTGTGATGTATGTGTGCCTCTCTCCAGAGCAGAGTCAGAGGCCGCTCCCTCCCGCCGCGTCGCAACACAATAACAACAACCAACCGATGGACCCACAGAGACCCAATCAATATCTCTCCTCTCGCTTCCTCCGCCGAAAGCTAGCAGCAGCAGTAGTATAGGGCACACCCTGCTCCCGTCCCGCTCTCGCTGTGTGGTGTGTGCAACACACGCTGGTTGGTGGGACTCCCTCTCTCTCCAGAGAAAAAAAGGCGAAAAAAAGGCCGGCAGCGTTGAACAACAACCAGCAACCAACGAAATCAACAACAACAACATCATCAGCGATGAACCCCAGACCAACCAAACGTTCCCCGCTTCCTCCGCCGTCGCCAACAGCAGTATGTGTGTGTGTCCCGACCCCCGTGTCCAAATTCCCTGTCTCTGTGTAGTGCGTGTCTTGCCAGTAGCAGCAGCAGTGT